AACATCCTAAATGACCCTGTAAATCTTCTGTTCTTCCGCTAACTACCGTAGTTAGCGTGTTTTCGAGGCTATGAAACCCAAGAAACCATAAGAGGCAAATGTATAGCCAACAGAGCTTATAAAATCAGCAAAAATACGGTTCTAAATTTTAACAAATTCCTATGAATTATATACCAAAATGTTCAGGGAAGCCCGGGGTTTTCAAATCCACTCTTTGCTTTTTTGAAAGGTTCTGTTTTAAATCAAGGAGAGACGATTTTCTAGCTTGACCCCGGTTACGTTATGCATTTTCTCTTGTAAAATACGTCCAATAGCGTACATTCAACTCAAAAAGTACGGTGTTTTTTTTCCAATAGAATTCAATCTAAACCATATAATACAGTCCGTGAATAGTTGAATTAAATGAATCCACTTCTGTTGTTTGCCTAGATAGTCATTATTTTGAGAAAAGATCCAAAAACCGTGTTTTTGAGACATAATTTGTATGGGCTGACATGAGGGGGCGTGAGCTTGAAATCGTAGCTGACCAAATGTTAACAAATTTTTTCTGATGATACGGCATGAGAAATGTTCAATTTCTATCTTGTGTCTTTGTAAGTAGTTTTATGGACGGTTTATCGTCATGGTTTAGCCATAAAACGCTACTTACAGGTCACGTGACCTGTGACGTCAAGCTGCCAGGGGGGTTGGTTACCATCAGCGTTGGCATACAAAGACTTTGGTAGTGTAATAACGTCATGAAAGGTCTATTTCAAAAACTGGCGATAATGTTATCTTAGCAAGTCACGTGATATGTGACGTTATACACCCAAAATCGTTGGGGTGACTGACAGGACACGTGACTACATCCCTGCCAAGTTTCGTAATCACAGGTTGTATTGCCGCGGAGAAAGTGGGACAGGGGCCACAAGAGGTGCGTGGGGCCACCAGACGTGGGGCCACCAGACGTGGGGCCACCAGACGTTGGTGGAACGTGCCAAGCTTACTTGATAAATAAAGGAAAAATAGCAAAGGAGTTGAATAATTAATATAGTATTAAGTAGATAAGGTGCGAAAGAAAAATAATTCAATGAATTTGGCTCGATTATGAAATTGATTGAACCCTTTCTAATTGACCAAAGCGAAGCTAGCGTGGGATTGGCGGCGTCGGATTGATATTCATTGAGATTCAGAATCATTTCCGGGGGAGGTCAAACAGGTCATTCTACTAAAATCCTCTTTTTCCCCTAACGCTGGCAAAATCACAAACGAATTCCGATTAAACTTTATTCTCTGATTTCTATTTATGATATTCTATGCTCTTAAGTAGAATACACTGCCTATTCTCGGCGAATTTAATGATTTTGCTCTCAGCCTCGGATTGGACTCGTATTACAAGTCACGTTCAAAACATTCAACTGATAACAACAGACTGACGATTTAATTTTTATCAAACATTCAATTTATTCACTTCTAGCCTGCATAGTAAACTCGATTTTACTTCTAACCTATCGGAATCTACATTTCATTATACTGATTTTGCTCTCAGCCTCGGATTGGACTCCTATTATAAGTCACGTTTAAAACATTCAACAGACTGACGTGTAAATCATCAAACATTCAACTTATTCAATCCTAACCTTCATAGTGAACTCGATTTTACTTCTAACCTTCGTATCGGAATGTATTTATATTTCATTATACTGATTTTGCTCTCAGCCTCTGATTGGACTCCTATTACGTCTCAGCCTCGGATTGGACTCCTATTACTTCTCCGCCTCGGATTGATCATGTTTTTATATTAGATTTAAAAGATATGATTCAACATTTTAAAGACCTTTTCCCTTCCCCGGTTACATTGTTGCATGCAATGGAACTGAATTTAATTGTGAAACACGAGCCGTGTGGATTGATAAAGATCACTTGCATTAAGGTATCTTTCTTGACAAGATATGGAGAAACAGATTTAAGAGTAGGTCTCTGTCGGCTATTTTGCTGGACGGATCGGGAAAACACGAAACAATTAATCATCTTGATAGATTTACCAGATCCTCGATGTTTTTTCATGCGACAACACAAGTGTTGGATGCAATCATCTAACATAATCCAGTACGGCAAAAAAAAAAAAAAAAAAAAAAAAACAAAAAAACAAAACAAAACAAAAACAAAAACAAAAACAAAAAAACTCGCGTTTATATCCCCTAGAATTTATAAAGACAAATAAGTATAATCTTTGACTGTAGCGCGTTCATGTGACTCTAATACACTCAGATCTGATTTTTATACAGCTTAACTGAGGGTTTGATTTTAGAAAAATATATTCAATCGAATACGGCTGATAATAATATAAACTAATCAATATATTTTACCTGTAGTCGAGTAATTCCTACGGTTGTCACACTGGCTCGTATGTTCTGGTCCCTTGAATGTCACCCTTACTTATATCTCTAGATATAACGTAACCGATACGTTGATCTGTCATCATCATTACTGAATGTTTAAAGATAAGAAGTGTTTTCAAGGCATAATTTGACTGATATGCTATCAGGTCAAGAACGATTGCTAGGGATGGGCTGA